GATCGTACTGAGCAAATAGCATGCCTCTGAAGGAAAATTCCAGAAATCTATGCAGAAGCAAACTTTGATTTTTACATTAACCTCTCTCCACTATGGGTAAAGGTTTTACTTTGAGTGAATGAGCACAATTTAATACTAATAAGAGAGAAAACTAACCTTTGTCCTCGGCATCCATTGTTGAGATGCTTTCCCTTAAAGTCCCTTTGGCATAGCACTGTTTACAGTCAGACACTAAGTTTGCTCACCTTAAGTCTTGGTGAGATAAATTATAGTGTCCCCAACCTGAGGATGTGTGTTCTTATGGTACTCGAGTGAGAGTTTGCATTTGCTTCGTTCTTCTGTCCTTCATTCATCCATTCCATGAGGCGGCAGATACTCATGGCCAGGCGAGGTAGCAGGTGACTGTAGTCAGAGGCAGGAGGATTGCCCAGAGTTCGAGGCCAGCCTGGCCTGCATCGTGAGTTCAAGTCTAGCCTGAACGGCATAGTGAGACCTAGTCTCAAAAAAAAAAGTATGGGAAGCTTTGGTCTCTGCTGTGTGTTGGAAGCAAAGTAAACCAGGAGGACGCTACACAGGTGGGCTGTGCGGGAAGGCCTCATGGGAGGGCTGCAGATGGGAAACCTAGCGCTGGAGTCAGGCCTGGGAAGGCCTTGAGGTGCAGCCTCCCAGGCAGCGGGAGAGCAGGGGCTGAGCTTGCTGGTTGAGTGTAGGCCCCAGAGGGCCAAGAGACAGTTGGAGGCCAGATTTACTCCCAAGAACCAGTCTGATGTAAGAACTAAGCAGGGAGGTGTGCTGGATGTATGTTCAGAAGCTCAGACTGGCTGCTGTGTAGGGAATGCATAGCAGAGCCGCAGCGGAAGTGTGGTGGCCAGGTTACAGTATTAAGGCCTGCTAGTGGCAGAGCCGTAGTTGTCAGTGTGTGCCCTGTATCTGCCAGTTAGTCCTTTAGGTGAATTTGTGTGAGTGGGATTAGTGGAATGAAGATGTACATCTTTAAAATCCCAGTCCCTGTCACTGAGCCACTTTGCAGAAAGGTGCCTACCAGTTTTGTCTCCCACCATCATTACACGTCGCAAGACTCACCCTCACCACCCTTGCTGGTCTGGAAAATGAAGACATCTAGTACCTACCCAAGTGCAGAGTAGAAGAGACGTGGTTTGACAGCAGTCTGAAGGAATCATGGCAAGGACTTGGGATGTAGTGGGCAGAGGCCTTGGGTTTAATCCATGGTGGGGCTGGGGTAGGTAGGAACTGAGGGTGTAAGGTCATTGTTAAACTCAGTGGACCAACAGAAGTGAGTTCTCAGACCACTTCCGGATTGGTGTGTATTGAATCCAGCATGATCAGATACTGGTGAACGATAGCTGCAACCTGGAGAGTATTCTGAGGTTAGTGACCAGGAGGATTCAACAGACCTGCAAGCAGCACTTGGGGCCAGAGGCGGGGAGGGTTCGGGAGTGAGGGATAGTTTTTCATTTTGAGAGGAGAACTGGGAGAAAGGCAGTGTCCTCTTGCACTGTTGACCAAGCTGCCCCATGGAAGAGAGTATAGACTGACACCATATTGTCTCTGAGGACAGACAGACACAGTGGGGGTGGGATTTCTGACTTTATGGGGGAAGACAGTTTTTTCAGTGAGAACAACTGGTGAAAGTGGAGAAGTCCTTGTTGCTAGAAGTGTTCGAGCAGAACCAGACAATACTGTCTTCAGTCTGCTGTGGAGAGGGACTTTCGGTGCCGAATGAGTGACTGAAGAATGTCTCAGCTTCCCTCCAGTTCTGGGCTTCAGAGTCAGTCCATCCACTGACTCTGGAGTTCATGGAAATGAGACAGATTGGCCTCTGAAGTAAAACCTAGGAGAAACGCAGGCCCCAGCCTTTTAAAAGCAGGGGACAGAAATGTCTCTTCCCTACCACCCCTTCTCTCTGCCATGACCTTCCACTGAGGGGATGGGGCTGTGACTGGCTCTTCACGATGACTTGCCCTACTTCCTGTGAGCCTTTGGGAGGAAATGAACAGCAAAAGTTGCTGCCCCTGCTGCTGAGCCTAGGGAAGCAGGGCAGGGTTCAGGGTGGAGGAGATCTAACTGCAGATCACGTCTGACATGGGACCTGGCTGGCGCTCAGGCCATTGACTTGAAACCAAAGACTTGAATCGTCCTGCTGCTTTGGTCACCATGTGGGTGGAGGGAGAGATTGGGAACCTCTCATGTTATGGCCAGAAACCAGAGATTTCACCCTAGAGCATAACTGTGCCTGTTTTGAACCTGAGGCTCAAGGAGGCTCAGTCAGAATAGAGTGGATTGTGGTCATCAGCCCCGACAGTGCCATGGAGCCCATAAGACTGCTTTGACCTGCCTCTCCCTTCACCCTCTGCTCTGCAGTCACGTGGCCAAGGGCAGTGTTAAGCTCTGGGACTAGGATAGAGGCATGAGACTCGTGGAGGGGCAGGCTCTGACCTTTGATTTCTTCTCCCCACCCCATCTTCTGGTGGAATTCAGCGTTTGGTACCAGCTCTTCCACCTGGGGCCACAGTCTACTAGAGAGGAAGTGCCCGGGTTTGATTATAGCCCTGAGAGTCCAGCCAGTGGTCCCCATGGAGTTAATAGGCGACCTTAGCTTTGTAGGCAGCCAAGGTGGGAGAAAGACCATGAATGTGGGAACCAGCACGCCAGAGTTCATTCTGGTCGGGGGCCACAGGCCCCTCTGCACCTCACCTGCTGCAAAATGAAAGCAGCAGTTGGTAACAGGTTCCCACAGACGCTTACTAAATGCAGGCTCCAGCTTTCCTCCTCCTCCTCCTCCTCCTCTCCTTTGTGGAAACAGCTTCTCTCAGAAATTCCAGGACAAAATAGTGAAGCAACCTTTCTGTATTACTTTAGGTAATTGTATTGGATGTTGGGAATATGTAGCCTAAAATGTGCCAGTCACACAACCTGTTTCCAGTTGTCATTCTCATATTTATGATATTTTCACTGTGTTGGTATTGATTTTGATAATTTGAGATTAATTGTGAGTGTGTTATTAAAAGGGCAGTTTTGATACTAATTTATATCCTTTAGCATCTTCCTTAATTCTTAGAGGTTTTTTTAAAAATAAACATTTCTAAAATTGAGGGGAGCCATGCAGTGTTGAAAAAAACCTTACCAACTTTTCTTTTTTTACCCCAGACCTTGATAGGAAGAGATGGTCTCAGATCACAATCTTTGGTACTTATCAAGGCTGTTTGTATCATTTAATTTTCTCATAGTTGTAGGTGACCAAGGACTAAGTGATATCCTTCCCTAATAATTAGGTAAGGAATCACATGGCCATAGGCATCATGGTCTGCGATTCTTGTCTGTTACCTCCTGCTAGATCGTTCTGCTCCACCACACTGATTCCCACCAAGAGCCCAGTGGCGTGGCCTGCGCCTCCTTTCCGAGTGCCCTGTTCTCAAAGGTCAGACCATAGCTTCGGCAGTTGCAGCCAGCAGATGGCCGTGGGGCTGGTGTTGTCTGCTGGCTTGGAGGCGCAGGGGACTAATGCGAGAATCCGTCTATAGAGCAGACCGGAGAGCCCCACATCCGTGTCCAGCACTGTGCATCCACTCACTTCTGAGAAGAGGACTCCCGTTGCTGGAGGCCACAGGTTATGTGTGGGAGTGGAGCATCCTGGCTGTCTGAAACCCTTGCCCAGCACATCTCAGCACGAATCTGTCCAGGACTGACGAGCTGCTTGGTGTTTTCATCTTCAGCCTGTCTCCTCAGAGGACAGCACTGCAAGAAGGCGGGACTGAGCTGCCTTTCAGTGGTGTGGCAGGAGAGTGGGCAAGAATGTTGCCATTTTTCCCACCCTTAAGAACTTCCTGAGGGGCTGGAGGTGTAGTTTGGTGGTGGAGTACTTTCCTAGCATGCATGAGGCTCCGCATTCCACCCCCAGCACCACCAAAAATAAAAATACTTCTCAAGTAAAATCATCATAAAACAGTTATTTGTAAAAAGCTACACTGCATTCCTACATCTGGCACAGTTTAACCCCACTCAGACGATGTGATTGTCACTAGCAAAACGAATCCCTTTTTATATTGGAAAATAAGGAAATTGGGTTGGACTGTTTATAATGCCGTTCTTTCTTTTCCGGTATATCTTGGGACCTTTCTTTTGTTAGGATGTTTTAGAACTTAATGAAATAAGTCCACTTAAATCAGGACCCTTAAACTTCCTTTTTGGAACAGACCCATAAATATTACACATAACCCTTTCCGGCTCTGTGTGTGCCCTCGTCCTGTGGATGTTGGAGTTGTAACCTGTAGCTCAGTCGTTGCGCTGTGTGCTTACTCTCCTGATCTCTGAATCCACATAATTCCACGAGGGACATGGAAAAGCTTTTAGGTCTTAAGTGCTCTGCGCATCTGCTCTGTCAGCACGTCTCAAATTTGACCCCCAAATACTTTCCAGAGACTGGAGAGACATAAGACTGGTCAGTGCAGGGTGGCTTTGGGGCTACAGGGCGCAGTTGTGACTTGGTGACTTACGAACCAGTGGGATAGTTTGGGAAGCTAGGAATCCTTTATTCTATAGACGCGGGTGTCCTAAAATAGTACTTTTTGTCTGAGTAAGTAGGACCGGTCACCAGATAGTTCGTTTCCAGCTCATTAATGCCAGTCAAGTTCATGAACATCTTCCAGCAAGCAGCATGACATTGAGCAACCCTTCTGGATAGCACAGGAGCCTGAGCAGAGATTCAAGGAGGTTGTGAAGTTTTAGGAAGGCAGAAGCCTCTGTATAAATTGTATTCGGTGTCTCTGAACTAGTGAAAAGTCAGGAGTGAGGAGTGTATGTAGCTCGGTGATACACCACTTGCTGAGAAGCTCAGGACTCTGGGTTCCATCCCCAGCACTGCCAAAAGAAAATTTAAATACCAGTGCTTACGTGTGTAATCTCAAAAATTTAGAGGAAATAAGTGAGCTGGATTTTTTGCTGTTCTTAACTCACATTGTGTATTTGTATATTCCTTTTAGACATATGAAGATTCATGAGAAGGACCCCAACGGTGCTACAGCCGTGGCCCCTCCATCTCCTCTGAAGCGCAGGCGGCTGTCCTCTAAGAGGAAACTGAGTCACGATGCCGAGTCAGAGAGAGAAGACTCAGCACCTGCTAAAAAGGTCTTCTCAGCTCCTGGCACAGACATGCCTCAGCGTAGGGCTTTTAGCAAAAATACCACTAATCTTTATTTTCACAGTATGGGGACTTGGCAGACAGCCACCGTACGCTTTTTAACCTGTGCTTTCCCACACTGTTTTTATAAAGTGACTAAGAAAAGAATACCTGTGTGTGTTTCCTCTTCGAGCACCCCTTGCTGAGCTGAGGAATGAAATGAAGAACTTCCATGCTTTTTACATTGCTGCCAAGCTAATATGAAAGCGTCATTAGCTTTGGGTTCTCTCTTGCCCTGCCCTTTATTCTCTGGTGTTTAGCAAATAGTAAGGGTGTCCTGAGTCTGTGTTGAGGGGATAAAAGGATTGAGGAGTGGGTGGGCGGCTGGTACTGTTCAGTGAGTATCTGTTACGTGAGTGAGTGAATGGACAGTCACATTCTTAATGTTCAGGTGGGGAGCTGGTGTTGGCCTCTCTACATGGGAGACCACTTTGTGACTTCACTTTCTGCTTTTCCCTCAGATGGTGGAAGATGGACAGGCAGGTGACTTGGAGAAGGCAGATGATGAAGTCTTTCACTGCCCAGTGTGTTTCAAAGAGTTTGTTTGCAAGTATGGACTGGAGACCCACATGGAGACCCATTCAGATAACCCACTAAGGTAGGAGAAATGGCGTGCTAGACCTGTGGTCTGGAAAGCCCCTTTTCATTTCATTGCTTTTCTCTTCCAGCTGAACTGCAGAGATTGAATGTGTGTGAGAGACGTTAGTAAAGCAGCTGAGAAATGCATTGTGTGGGAGGGGAGGAGATGGGGCTGAGGGTCATCAGAGAGGCTGGCTGTAGTGGTGCGCCCTGATTCCTTCACTTCGGGTGCCTGGTGGGCAGTCACCAGTGAGCCCTCCTGTCAGGGTGTTTTGAACAACAAACATTTTTTCTTTGCACGAGATATCGCAGCTCAAATAACTGCCGGCTGTCTGTGGATGTACGGTCCAGGTGAACTGTTCATGTGTTTCATGCCGGCCCAGTGCTGGCCATTCTAGGTGTTTGGACCAAACTGGACCAATGGCATGGAAACCCGGAGTGCTGTGGGGTAAGAAAGAGTCCACCAGGGTCTAGCGAGGCAATTTTGAACATCAGTTCTGCTGTTCATCTTCCATTTTCAGTCTTCTCAGCTCCAGCACTTATGACCCTCAGTAGTGCCAGGCAGAAAGCATGGATGGGAATACAGCTTTCCAGGAGGATTCAGGGATAGGCCTGTTTTCTCTACCTTCTCTGCTAACTCTCACCAGGCAAAGTCCCGTGTTCTTGATGAACAGCAAGGTTTAGAGACTGTTCATACAGAATTGCCACATTTAAAATGTTAGTGCCAGTGCCGGGGATATAGCTCAGTGGTACAGCACACGCCTGGCAAGTGCGAGGTTGTATGTTCAATTAAAAAAAAAAAAAAAAAAAGAGAATATGTAAAATGTTAATACCAGTCCGGCGTGGTGGTGCACACCTGTAGTCTCAGCACTCAGAAGGCTGAGGCAGGAGGATCACTGTGAGTTTGAGGCCAGCCTGGGCTACATAGTGAGATCCTGTCTCAAGAAAAAAAAATGCCATTAATTCTAAAAGAACTAATAACTATCCAGGAGCCTCTGCTATAGTTGAGAGACTTGAAGTCTGAAAAGTCCCACATAGCTGAAGATTGATCCAAGCACAGAGGGCAGGTCCCCGTGTGGCTTTTCAAAGATAGCTTGGGAGTACAGGAATTTGGGCACCTGTTTGCCTGAGTCCCGATGTATGGACTGGATTTCTTTCCCAAGAACACATGTTTCCTGGTAACTTGGGAATGGAAAGGTCTGCACAAGCTGACGACTTTTGTGTTAGACAGGAAAGCCTAATTGTGCACTGACTGAAGGCCACAACCAGTGTTATTATCCGTAATCACGTTAGCTTGATATTTTTCAGTTGAGGGAGAGACAGACTCTATGGAGAATTTACACTGCTGGACCAATTGGAGTCCTGTATAATGTCTTTAAAGAGCTCCTCAGCCTCAGGCTGAGGACTGACACTGACCTGCCCCCTTCCAGGTGACGTGATCCTACAGGGGAGCACGGAGGCTTCGGAGGGTTCTGCTGAGCCCGCCCTGCACAGCACGGTGTGCAGCAGTGACAGCAAAGCCCGCGTGTGCCCTTGTGCAGCGCTGGTCTGGGTGACGCATGAGTTTCCTGGAATAGTGTCTGGCGAGGCTGAGTCCTCAAAGGCAGGTAGCAATGGGACTCGCCCTGCACGCTGGTCATTCATTCGAGCACGATTTGGTAGGCGATTGGGCCAGTGGCACAGCAGGGCCATGAGGCTGAACCTCCGGCTGCAGAGCAGGGGTTTTCTTCCTGGCTCAGTACCGCCCTCTGCCAGCTGAGGGGCAGCTCCCTGTAGCCTAGCAGGAGCTGGGCCTTTGCAGGTAATCTCCATCCCACCGGCCCACAGGGCTGGCCGTGGGGCTGGTGGTGTCGGAAGAAGACCAAGCAGGCAGCCCTGCCTTGTGGCTCTATCTAGTGACCACTGCCCCGTGGGGTGGGGCTGGCCCCTGGAGACTGAAGGGAATGATTACAGATCGCAGTTGCCTCCCTTTTCTCCTCTCTGCTCTGCTGTTCCGTATAATAGCCTGCTATCAGAGGAGGCCTGGAGCAGGCGCGGGCCCGCGGGGCCTGGCTGGGCTGTGAACTGTGACAGGGGCGGTGGGAGAGACTGCTCGTTAACCAGAACTAAAATAGACACCGACTCCATTTTCAAACCCCAAAGGCAACAGAGCCACAGTGGGATGCTACCAGCTTGGGCAGAATGTCTGTAACTCAAAACAGCTGCTGCTTTCTCTCTCCTGCGCTGGCCCCCCTCCTTTTCCTCCCCACAAAGCTGGCGAGGTGCCTGTTGTTCCTTAAGAAAGTGTTGGAAACCCAAACGAGTAAAGACTGTGTCCCTGTTCCTCTGCTCTGCTGTGTTTCAAATTAACCAAGTGTCGGCCTCAAGCAAAAGGAAGGCACCCAGCCACTGGCAGAGATTCCAGCTCTGAGGGTCAGGTGTTGTCTGCAGTCCCTTCTGCACAGTTCCCAGATGGGGAGCAGGGTTCCCAGATGGGGAGGGAGCAGCATGAAACCTGAGGGTTCTGGCACCTGGGAGGGTGTTCACAGAGCAGGTACGTGTAGCTGGGGGCGGTGGTGCACACCTGCAATTCCAGCTGCTTGGGGAGGTCGAGGCAGGAAGATTCCAAGGTCCAGGCCAACCTGGGCAACTTAGCAAGACCCTATCTCAAAATAAGATTTGAAAAGTGCTAGGAATGTAGCTCTGACAAGTGTGAGGCCCTGGACTCAAGCCTCAGTACTACCCCGCCAAAAAAACCCACAGACTCGGGGGCATCCCTGTGTGAGCTGAGGGCTGCTGGACATGGGAGATCTCGCTCACTTGTTAGACTCAAGCAGAGTAAGCTGTCCACTGCTAGGACTGTCTAGGCCGGCACCAGCAGCAGCAGCAGGATTAAACCTAGCTATCCTTTGAAATCATCTAGTAGCCTCATTTTTAAAAGTATAACATAGGCTGGGGTGGGTGAAGCTCAGTGGTAGAGCACATGTGTGCCATGTGTGAGGTCCTGGGTCTCAGCCCTGTGCAGAAAAGAAACAAGCAATATTAACACTTTAGTTGATTACTATACCACAGTAGTGGTCAAAATAGACCATCAGCACACACAGTATACAAAGTGTCAGTGGTGCTGTTTTGCTTTTTTGCTGCATAGGCCTTGAAGTCCGGTTCATGTGGCCCCGTCACAGCCTCTCTCCTCACGGGCTCAGCAGCCCACAGAGCAGGTTTAGGAGGGGAATACCCCCCATGCTCTGTGTGGGCGACTCTGCCCCTGGCGTCAGCTGGGAGGGCAGGAGCCAGGGTCAGTGTGTTGATGAAGTGGCTGCCAGAGGCAGAACTTGGCCTGAGTTACTGTATAATCTTAGGTAGCTTTTTGATTAAAGGAGATCAGGTAATAAGTAATTTTAACAGTATTTCAGTTAAAATGTACCCAGCAGATGATCGAGTCCTCATTATGATCTGACTAGGCTTGAGAAAAACAGTGATGTTTGAGCCAGTGGCCTCGGCTGCCCGGAAAGCAGCAGAAGTCCGGGGCGAGGAAGCCCCTTGCCTCCTAGCCCAGTGAGGGGGTCTCTGCGTGCAGAGTGTCTGCTGCAGCCCTGTCCTCCTGTGCTGGGGCACTTGTGTTCTCTCTGGGTCGAGACCCCCTTGCTCGGGTCACGTTATTGATCCCCAGAGTCATGTCCCAGGTGATTTTGACCCTTAACTCCCTTGGTGCCCGCCAGCCTTCGTTAGGAATGAGCGCGTGGGACCCTAGGGGCCTGCCCAGGTGAGCTGGCCTGAAGGAGATGCCAGGACCTTCTTCTCATTCGTGGCCACTCTGGGGGACGCTGGGCCCCAGCTCTGCTCGAGTACCACCTGCTGAGAGACCCTGAGATTCTCCACAAGGCCTCAGCCTCACGCTGGGCGGATGTCGTCCTGCACCAGGAAAGGCCTGTCAGTGTCTGCCAGCGTCATGTTTGAAAGTGCAGGGCTCGGTCGGGGCTCAGCCAAGTGGGAGCACCCTTCACTTGATGCCAGCATCTGGGGAGGGTGTGCAGAGGGCCCAGGGGAGGACGCCAGCTCACCTGGTGCCAGCTGCCCCTGTGAGGTGCCTAAAACTCTATCCCCCTCTTCACACCACTCGGCCAACCTGGCGGGTTCCTAGGGCAGGGCAGGGAGGCCTCCCAGCCAGGGCTGTCACAGGGCAGCCTCCGCTGCTCACAGCAACCGGGAGAGATTAGTGCAGCTGTGGGTGTCAGTTCCCTGCACTGGCCAGGACGGCAGGAGGGTGGGCTGAGGGGCAGGAATGTCTGCGCCGGGTGGGACTCCGAGGAGGGATTGTTTGCACTCACTCCTCCTGGCTCTGGAGATAGAGCAGGGAAAATGAAGCATGAAATCCCTTTTAAAAGGAATGCCAGTCTCTCGATTAAAACACTATAACGAGCGAGGGATTCGGTGTCTCAGCCAGCAGCCTGTGAGGTGCAGCCTCCTGGCAGGTGTATTTCTCAGGTCCTGCCGACCAGCCGGGCTGCTGGGAGCAGGAGTGTCAGTTGGGAATGTGCTCGGCTGAGCCAGTGTCCAGGCATGAGGGATGTAATGCAGGTCATGTCAGGAGCTGGGCATCTGCACAGAACTGCTCTGCCCAGCCTGCTGCCTGGCATCTCTGTGACCGAGGGCAGTGGAGGCTCAGTTTGCCCATCCAGAAAATAGATTTGAAGACTTCCAAGGATAAAGAGGGTTAACCCAGCCCTGGGACTCTCAGAAATACTAAATGAGTTTTTCTTCTGATACTGTTATTTAGATCACATCTCTTTCTCACTATTTTAAGCCTTCCGGCATTCACAGTTAGGGTTTTGGTTATCCCAGTGCAGAGAGACTGAGGCGTCCAGTTCCCGGGCTTCTCCCAAGTACTGTTGACTTGACAGAGGACGTGAGGGCAGTGTGTCCTTCACTCTTTATTGTCATAGAGAACCACGTTCATCTAGCTTTACTTCTGTCAGGATTGGGACACTGAGTGCCGTTTAAATTTGGTTTGAGTCCTGTCCTCTGCTCGCCCCTGTGTTT